GCTGAGTGGTAAAGCTAATATATAAATAACTTGATCATCCCAAACTGCCGCTGATATAAAACCTCCTCCTAAACTATATCAGATGTCACCACATGTTCTCTATGAAAACAGACGGCCTTTGTGTCTATGGCTGTTGACTATAAAACTAGATGATATCTTTCTAGATGGAAGGTTCTTGACTGTTTATTAGTACAGTCATATTCAAATGGCCTGAATTCCTTCCAAACCTTTGAGCTTCCCATTTTCTGTAGGGCTAGTGCCTCTGGTGAGCCAAGCATCAACCAAGAGGAAACACAGAGCACAAGGACTTAGCCAGGATTACACCTGAGTACCTCTCTATGTGGCCACTGCTTGTCTTTTCCATTTTCCCTTTCCACACAGCAGTACTGCTGGACACCTGCTGTGACACTTCCAGGCCACTTCCTTATGGCAAAGGAACCTAAGTTACTTTTACACCCACAGAAAAAGAAAGCTCGTAAATAATTTACAAAACTCTAAAAGTGCACTTAAACCTTAGAGAAAGCACTGAGATCAGCCAAGCTCTGTCTAATCACTTCAGAGATAAGCCTCTAAGCCTCTCGGATGGTCTGCAGTAATCTTTTACAAGGTATTTCATAAGCAAACAACCCTGCAGGCTATACTGCAACTTTACACGGGGTTGCAGATTTGGAGAGAGCTTCTTGGGACATACAGCATTCAATTTTCCCGATATAATGCACAGCCTTAGACCCGAAGAGACTCAGATTTAATCCTGGGTTTCTCATCAGCCCTCTGAAACATGACCTACCTCTTAAGCTGCTCCCAAGCCACCTCTCTCCAATTAAGGAGACCTGGACTGTAAAATGCCACATCCTGTCCCCATTTGGCTTGGCAGATTTAATGAGCCATTGTGGTAGAAACAAGGTAATGCCCTCAAGCCATGAAAGACTAATCCATTATTCCTTCCCCCGCTCCATCATTCAGCTAGCAAACTCACACCATCAGTTCCATAAGTCTGCTCTCTCCTTGAAGGGTTTCTGCAGACAATTCTTCTGACAGTTTTATGTCTCTCATAACTGGGGTTAGCTGTACTCCAGCAGCTGTATGGTGGTTCTCTCCCTGCCCCCCATAATAAACGTCCTTTTCCAATGCAGATGTAGTTACTAATAGGTCAGAACTTGCCTTCTCAATGTCCTGAAATGGAAGAGCTGTGGATAGGGTGAAGGCTGAGGACCAACCTCCTTCTTCCCACGCTTTGCTGCAAGTAGGTATACGTGGTCTGGATGGGAAAGAATAAAATATCTTCTCATGGCTGAGAACTGATTCTTGCTGTTGTAGAGTTTCATAATTTGCTCATCAGGAGAAAATGCTTAAGACATATCTGGATCGCATGATGTAGAAAACACAACACTTATGAAACAGATTGCACAAAAAAAAATGCTACCAGGACTTCAAGGAAACCATGATGATAACACCAGTGTTTCTGTTAAATGGGAAAAGTATGCCTAACAAGCATATATTAGTATATATGCTTGTTATTAATATATATATTAAGCATATATATATTAATTAGTTGTCTTTTTTTCTTAAATAACTATGAACATAAGAGTGAAGGGATCTTTCAGAATGATGGATTTGCTTTAAATATTATGCCAGTGATATGCGGGAAACATAGCAGGAAGAAGGTACACTGCCCATCCTAGAAATGCTTAGAGAGGACAATTTGTGTGGAGCATGGCAGAATTGTCTGCTAGGAGCTGGGAACAGCATGTCCAACTGGGAGTGTTTTATTGTTACCACAGGTTGTTATTCTGCTACCCCTTTTCTGAAGTGGGAAAAATCTGAAGATTCAAATCACTTCCAGCACAGTCATTGCTGGAATGACCCACACCAAGCCTAGAGGAGTTATGCGAAGAACTGGGCTATGTAAAGAAATGTGCTCCTGGTGTCAAAAAGAGGTCTAAGGAGCCTCTTCAGCTTCCCTGTTCACCATTTTCTTCTTGATTTCTACTCTTCTTTTCCTAGGAGAATGTTTCCAGCCATGAGAGTGAAAATTACAGGTTTGGATCCCCATCAGCAGTATTATATTGCCATGGACATTGTGCCTGTGGATAACAAGAGATACAGGTAAGCTTTATAGGCACAGAGGTAGAAACTTTGTGACAGCCTAGGAAAGACAGATGCCATTATACAGCATTTCAAATGTATGGTGGAAGAGACCATGCTGATTTACACCAATATAGTTGATTTGACCAGCATCATGAGACAAATCGAGAGATTTGCTCTTTTCAAATAGCAGTTTTTAATCAGAGAGATCCCTAGCATGCATTTCACAATTGACATGATTAGCAATGACTGTCTGAGGTTACTGATAACTGGAGGTATCAGTGGGGAGTCTGAAGCCTCTAAAACTACTTCAGCAAGAAAGAATGGGTATGCAGCAGCTGAACTAAGATGGGCATCTCAGGTCTGGCCTGAACTAACTTGTGTGATTTTTGTTTTAAAAGCATTCAGTGTCCAGCAGAGCAGTCGCAGGGGTATGGGCCCTAACTTATAACGTGCAGTGTCGTGGTTTAAGCCCAGCCGGCAACTTGGAACCACGCAGCCGCTTGCTCACTCCCCCACCTCTTCCTTCCTCCCCCCGCTCCCGGAGGGATGGGGAGGAGAATCAGAGGAGTGTAACTCCCACGGGTTGAGATAACAGCACTCCAGTAACTAAGGTATAATACAAACCACTACTGCTACCAATAATAATGATAAGAGGAATAACAAGGGGAGAGGACACAACCGCTCACCACCCGCTGACCGATACCCAGCCCGACACGAGCAGCGATCTGGGCCTTCTGGGTAACTCCCCCCAGTTGATATACTGGGCATGACGTGCTGTGGTATGGAATACCCCTTTGGCCAGTTTGGGTCAGGTGTCCTGTCTCTGCTTCCTCCTGGCTTCCCCTCCTCCCTGGCAGAGCATGAGACTGAGAAAGTCCTTGGTCAGAGTAAACATTACTGAGCAACAACTAAAAACATCGGTGTTATCAGCGTTGTTCCCAGGCTGAAAGTCAAAAAACACAGCACTGCACCAGCTACTAAGAAGGAGAAAAAATGACTGCTATAGCTGAACCCAGGACATGCAGCCATTGAGAAACCCTGTGATCAATCTCCACAGCTGAGCTGAAAGGAAGAAGAGAGTGCTGTGAAACTAATGGGATTCTGCTCCTAAAAAGTACTCTGGAAAACTCATGGTCCTCTGCATCCCAGAAAACTACGCAGAGAGGGGTGATTTATTCATACTCACTAAAGACCCCTGAGAGCAAGTCTTTTCATCATAGAATGATGAAAACCATCATAAAATGGTTCAGGTCGGAAAGGACCTTAAAGATCATCTGGTTCCAACCCCCCTGCCATGGGAAGGGACACCTTCCACTGGACCATGTTGTTCCAAGCCCCATCCAATCTGGCCATGAACACTGCCAGGGGTGGGGCAGCCACAGCTTTTCTGGGCTCCTCTCCACTCTCACAGGGAAGAATTTTTTTCCGAAACCTAACCTGAATCTCCACTCTGCTGGGTTAAAGCCATTCCCCTTTGTCCTGTCACTACAGGCCGTTGTTAAAAGTCCCTCTCCAGATTTCCTGTAGGCCCCATTTAGGCACTAGAAGCTTCTCTAAGATCTCCCCTTAATGAGCCTTCTCTTCTCCAGGCTGAACAAGCCCAGCTCTCTCAGCCTGTCTCCAGAGCAGAGCTGCTTCAGTCCTCTGATCATCTTCGTGTCCCTCCTTTGGACTTGCTCAGGCAGGTCCATGTCCTTCTTATGTTGTGGGTCCCAGAGTTGGATGTAGTACTCCAGGGGGGGTCTCATCAGAGCAGGGTCAAGGTTCCTTTGGATGGCATCCCCTTCCTCTGGCGTGCCGATTGCGCCACACAGCTTGGTGTTGTCAGCAATCTTGCTGAGGGTGCATCAATCCCATTGTCTGTGTCATCAACAAGGAGGTTGAACAGCACCGGTCCCAGTGCCAGTCTCTGAGGAACACCACTGGTCTTCACTTAGACATTGAGCTGTTAGAGGCAAGAATGTCATGCAGGACAGTGTCTAATGCCTTGCACAAGTCCAGATAGATATGTTAGTCACTCTTTTCTTTTCCTCAAATAGTCTTCACTGCAACACATTTCAAGGATTCAAGAATTGCTCCTCTGTTTCAAATGCTAAATATTACAGTTTTGTTCTCAGATTGTTTAGAGTGTTTCTCAGGAAAATGCTTTTCCTGGGAAGCATTAAGGTAGTGTCTGATACTCAGCTAGATGTTTTTCCCCTTTCTTTGAGTGTTCTTCTGACAGCACTAACATCGAAAAAAATACATTGTCTTATACTTTGTTTCTGTCCGTGTTTGCTTTTGCAGCCACATAGAGCAAGTTAGCAGTGAAGGGAGAAGATTATTATTATTTTGTTTTTCTTGTGAAAATACAGGAAATGAGTCACTGTTTGTAGGCATGGACTGAAATAGCTTAGCAGAGCTGAGTAGACACCCAGTGAGGGGCAGCACAGGGCAGAGCTCAGAGGTGTTAGCAGGACTGGTTGTGAAATGCCTTAGGCCAAAGGAGCCACAGGACAGAAAGCAAAAAACGTGTCTAGGCAAAGGTGTGGTAGAGAAATTTATGGAATATTTGGGATGGCGAGATCAGGAACACAGACGATTATAAAAAATCAGGAACACAAAAGTTACTTTTTACTCTAATTCCAGCATTTGTAATACTACATGGAATTTCCTATTTTGCAACATTTCAGACTAAGAAATTCTGTTTTATTGGTTTTTCTAGTGATATCCATTAGATTTTGCTCTTTCTGTGTGAAGACACGTGTTTTGCACAGTCTGGCATGGCAGCCAGTGCAGATTGCCGGAAATTACAGGGCATTTATTAACATTTTCAGAGAGGGCTTTGTTTACTCACATTTTCTAGCCTCTGACTCTGAAAGGGTTAAGGAGTTGAGAAGGCACATGTGGCAGAGTTTTACAGAGAAAAGAACTGCAAAGGTGGTTTTAATAATGAATAAAGTCTGAACAAGTGGCTCAGGGGTAATCTGGCTTTCATTTAGAAGGTAGGAGGTTGCAATAAAGCACATTCTCCCCTGACTGCAAATGAGAGCTTGGGGTGTATGCGGTAGGGTGGCCAGAGAGGGGGAGACCTGGAAATCTTCCTCCAGTGAGTGAGCAACAACTTCCCATACCTTTCCTTTTTCAGGTATGTGTATCACAGCTCCAAGTGGATGGTGGCTGGCAATGCAGACTCCCCAGTGCCCCCGAGGGTTTACATCCATCCTGATTCGCTGGCTTCTGGAGACACCTGGATGAGACAGGTGGTCAGTTTTGACAAGCTCAAGCTCACCAACAACGAGCTTGATGATCAAGGCCATGTAAGTTAAAAGCTAATGCTGGTGCCTGTTGCCCCCAGCCTTACTCCTTTCAGGCTCAGAAGGGTGCTGCTGCTGTTTTGATGTTTCAGTGTCCTGCTGGGCACACGTGTCTATAGCCACTCTAAAGAGTTATGAAACCTTTTTCCCTACTTCAGTGTTTTTTCCTCAAAATGTTGCCTGATCCTATAAAGCTCTTTTCTCTCTGCACATAGTACAAAGTTTGTCTCATACATACTTGTAAGAAAAGGGTGATTTTCTTTGTATTAGCCCTTATTCCAGCACTGCTTCCTTGTACATCTGAATAAGGTATAGAATATTTGGAGGGGGGAAAAATAATCCTTTCCTTATTATTTTGTTTTTTCTTCAGATAATCTTACATTCAATGCATAAGTACCAGCCCCGTGTTCATGTCATCCGCAAGGATTTCAGCAGTGATCTTTCTCCTACAAAACCAGTTCCTTCAGGAGATGGGGTGAAAACCTTCAATTTCCCTGAGACTGTCTTTACGACAGTGACAGCATACCAAAATCAACAGGTAAAGCTGCATGCCTTCAGACTCCTTTTACGATGGGTGTTCGTAAAAACATCAGTGCGCTTGATGTGTTTGAGGTATTAATTTTGCTGAGAAACGTAGCTCAAGAAGAGTGTACACTTTACAGGCTCACTGTTTTAATTTCTGCTACAGTGTGTAGACATGAGGCATGTAGCCAGAAAACCACCTTGCAGATAAGGTGCCTGCAGTTTTTATTTTAAGGTAAGTAAGTGATATATAAAGAGATTTTGTTCACATTGCCTTACTGTTTCACGGTACAAACTACGGTATCCTGTCCCCACTGTAATTTTGAGGCAGTACAACTAGTGTGGTTCTGTTGTCTCAGAGAGAAAACACATAGTTTTTTTTTAGCAGTGAAGCAAAAAGTTTTAGAGCAGCACAATCTCATCAGTTTGCTGACAAAAGAAGCCTTTGAACATAAGAAGCAGCAGTCCATGTGTTGCGTGTGAACTGAAATTCTCATGCATAATTCGTTTGATTCAGATCTTGCACAATTCCCAGTGGAGAGTGTTACTATTAACTTCAGATATCATAAGGAAAAGATGTTGCCACAGTAGGATCCTCTGTAGAGACCTTGATGTTGTTACTGATCTGCCCTTTTTCTTAAACTAGTCTTCATGGCACTAGGAAATGTAATCTCAGTGCACACTAGTGTTTGATTACAGAATATCCAGTCTACCCCTATTTTCCCCAAAGATGCGGTATCTTTAAGTGGAAATTAATTGTTAGCAAAATGTGAGCAGTTGAGACATCAGCAAAGAAAGGAGATTTAGAAAGACTATGCTATGGATTACACGCTTGCTCCCCCTTCTCCTTCAGTGGTCAGTGAAAGATGGTGTCTTTGAGGAGGTGCCTGCTTCATTGCTTCTGCAGGCATGTTCACTGCACACGTAAGTGTATAAGCTCTTTACATCCATCCATCCCCTTTGCAGTCTCCTTATGTACTGCTGATCTGCCACCTACCTCTGCCTAGCCCTCACACCACCTCTGTGATGCTTAGGGCCCAGTGTGCCCCTTTTCTCTTGTTCATGTACACATAGTCCCTATTTTATTCTCAAGTGAGAATTATTTTATTCTTAAGTGTATTTGATATATTTGATTCTCAAGTGAGAGGAAACTGTGTATTTCCCTTTCCTGCCATTCTCCTCCTTACTAGGATGGGGGTTGTCAGGGCATTAAAAGGGCTGTGTAAGGTAATGTTTTCCCAGCTATGTGAACCAGAATCTCAGTTGGTGAAACTTTTGCTGTGTTAATAGTGGGCCTGCTTAAAGACTGTAAGGTATTGTTATAAGCTAGAAGAATGAGGGTACAAACTGTCTTGGAAGAAAAATAACCTGTTATCAAGCCTATTGTGGAAATAGGTTATAGTACTTACTGCCATAAATTGCAGAGGAGTCTTTAACCACAAACAGTGAAGGAAATCTTTTTTTTCTATGATGATTTCTGTTCTTCTGGAGAATGACTTCATGAACACAGTGGATGTCATTATATTTAGTATCCTTGGATGGAGGGACAGACTCATGTCAGATCACCTTAGAGCAGATTATAACAGCATCCTGACAGTGCTCTCATGACTGCTTCTGAATGCCCACTCCTAGCTTTTTCTCAGTCTAGTCCTCTTGAAATGACTTAAATCTGGATCCAAGATGGATCAACTATTCCAGCAGAAAAAAATATTGCAACATGATGGCGGGTTTGCTCCAGTCATTGGAGCACTGGAAATTTCCTGCCCCCCTCACCCAAACACATGTACTCCACAGACTTTTAACTGTAGCCTAGACATGGAAAGAGGAAAAAGAAAGGTGAATTGACAAGAAATAAGCCTGTAATTTTTCCTAATGACCAGATTTGTAAGACATAATTACACTGATACGGGAGCTGCCAAGGGAGGGCACCTCTCTCAGCCACTGGCTCTATAAGCTACCTCACTGTTAAGAAGCACTGAAATTTCTTCCTGTTTCTTTGGATTCCAAACATGTGGGGTTTTGCCCCCCAGATTTTCTTTTGGGCTGTATTTTTATAAAAATACCAGTAAAGGAGATTCTGGAGGTTTGAGGAAATCTTTTCATTACAAAAAAATGGAAATCCCCTGAATATGCCTGCATGCCCTCCAGTGGCTGTAAGCTTTGTTTTACTGGGAGAAGCGTCTCTGGAAACAATTGTAAAATGTTAGCAAATCCACCACAGGGATTCCCTCTACTGTAATTCCATCCTCCACAGAACATATCTGTCTCTGTACACACAAGTCCCAGGACAGCTGCAAAGTCAGGCTAGCGGAAATTAAGTTCACAAATTAAGCTTCTGCAAAAATAGGAGCTGCATTCCAGATCCGAGGTTAATATCCACAGTAAGGGCTTCGTTCTGACAGAAGCAAACCACCTGCAAATCCGCTTCAGATCAGTCTGTATTAAACTCATCCTTTTTGAGCAGTTTCAGCAAAACCACCTCAAATTTGGTAGGATCTTGAGATCTCACTCTCTTTTCACCCCAGAGGCAGTGTCTCGGGGGCTGAGGCTGGCAGAGGGAAGTATTTATGCTGCACCAGGTTGGGGAATAGCTGACAAGGGAGTATGATACCACAGGCTGCAAGGTCAACCCCCCAGTATTATTTTTCGTATTTACCAACATGGAATTTGTGCCTAAAAATAAAGCAGGAAGGAAGATTCCCCAAAGCACTCAGTCTGGCTGTCATCCTCTTTGTTTAGAGGAGGAGGGAAAAGTCAAAGATGGTTTCCAGACCAGAAAACCCTTGAAAGGCCACCCAGATGCTGACCAGAAGAGCAACACCTTGTGCACGTGACTGGGTGGCTAGCTGCTGTCTTTGGATGCTGTAGCCTGTGCTTTGTCTTTTCTCCTTAGCAGTGTTTGAAGATCCATGAGTGCATCCAGCTGCTGGATATCCAGAGTGTTGAGGCTGGGATGACCCAGATACCAGCCAAACCTGAGCAGAATGCCTGTTTCCAAAACCACATGGCCATTGATAAGTTATAGCTCCTGGGCCCAAGTTGTGCTTCTACTTGGGGAACAGCTTCTCAGCCCCAAAGCTGTGTCAGGTTTCCTGATACTGCCAGGTTTCTGCCTCTGGCACCCTTCAGTTGCTGATCAGATAAGCTGTTCATGGATAACAGAATAATATAAATCTGGGGAAATACGTATGAAAGATCACTGTACAGGTGGTTTGGGCAAGACTAGTAATCATCAATAACTGTCATTTGTTGAAAGCAAAAAACTCATTTGGAGAGATCAACTAATCCTGATGTTCCTTCTTTATAGATCACCAGATTAAAAATTGACAGAAACCCCTTCGCTAAAGGTTTCAGAGATTCTGGGAGAAACAGGTAACAGGAGCTTGTTTGTGCTTTCTCACTGATCTCTCCTTCCCCTGATGATTGCATAGGGCATGTATCTAAGTCTGAGTAAGGTGTTTTGTGATCCTAATTAATTTTTACAGGAGAAGTTTGCTGTAGAGTAGTTGTTAGAGAAATTTGAAGGACTGCTTACTTTGCCTAAACAGATCCAATGTGTAATGATGGCTTCCTCAGAAAACACTTTCTATTAGCCAGCTAGACTGACCCTGTTTCTTTACAGAAGTCTCCTCCAGTGCTACTCCTACCTCTGCCTGGATCCTGCAGTCCAAAACCTTGACAGAGGGTTTTGATATTCTTGGACAGCTTATGAAATTCCTGCTTGACAACATTTTTTTCTGTGACTGTATTTTTTTTGGTGTCATATGTTTAATTTCCCATTCACTGCTACCTTTGTACCCCTTCTGTTGCCACTGCTTTCAAGGCTGTTCTCTTCTGTATGTATGTTTTGCTGCTGTTTATTTTTTCTGCTGGATAATTAATTTATTTATGCTCATTTTTATCATTTTCATGTTCCTCTGAGCTTTTCGATTTGTTGTTAAGAAACAAAATCAAAACATTATTTAGCATCTCTGGTAAGTCATTATTAAACTGTTACTGTTTACTGATATGGTCCTATGATATCCAAAGAATTAGGTAAAATAAATGAACTTCTAAAGATACTGTAGAGATTCTTGAAAAAATATATTCTTTTTATGACTAAAATGAAGACCAGAGATAGAAAGACATGGGATTGCAGATTGTAAAGCAGACAAATAGGTCACAGGCTAACACTCTGCAAAATAATGAAGGTTGTAGGAGATACATTTGCTTGTTCTCTATTATATGTAGAGCTGTCTGAAGGGCATTTTTAAACTTGAATTTTCACAGGAAATTCCCAAACTTGGAGCACAAATGCTTTCTTTACATTAGCATAAAAACTAAGATTTTGGTAGGTTTTCAGAATGAAAGTGCAAAAATGCTTTAGTTTCAAAAAATTTCAGTTTTTCTCCAGTGATGTCAAATTGTTTCACTTTGACTGTGTCACTTTATTTTGTGATTTTTATGAAAAGATTAAGGAGATTAAGTAGATTAAGTAGAAAAACTTAAATGTTATTTAGGATACATTATATTTTAAAAATATGATAGTAATCAAGGAGATCTAATAAAAAATAAGTTTTGAATTAGTAAAAGACACAGAGTTATCAAAAAAGAATAAGAAAGTCCAAACAAAAAATCTCAACTTTTTCTGCCATTCATGAATCCATCAGAGTGTGCAGCAGATCTAGATATTTCAGATCTAAATGATGCGGGCATCCTTTAAATCAGTGTGACAAAGGCTTCAGACATTAAATTATTTATAGAATTAGACATATATGAGTATGTTACAAGAACCCTACGACTGTAAAGCAAGGCTCTCAGTGTGCAGACCAGAGTGAAAGTCATCTGCATAGCTTTCATTTGCAGTCCCCATGGGCACTGTAATTCAGTTTTTACTCGCATGCTCCTCTTGTGTGTGTTCACCAGAACCACTGCCTCATTCACGGTTTGGTATGGGAAGCGTTCAGTGATCGGGCAAGTGCCCTGTGTTTCCCATCACTCATTTAAATGTTCACAAAGAAGACATCTTACTGACCTAGCAATTTCCTAGCTCAGCTCCTCTGTTATCATTTTACTGTAGCTATGCAAAAAGATGTTACCACACTTATTTACTAATGCTCCCCACTGTGAGCATTAGTTCTGATACTCGAAGCATATCTAACCTACTCTGCTCTCCTCTTCTGTGTGTAGGTAGTATCTGCCCTGGGTACAAGGTCTTCCCTGTGTGCAGAGATACAGCTGCACTGGAGGCTGGGTTTAGAAAAGAGATTGATGAAGTTCCACTTACATGGTGGGCTAGATTAACGTGGAAGGCATTAATAAGGTCCTAGCCCAGTGAATCTGGACAGTTTCCTGAAAAGGTTGGGAATTACTGATCTTTGTAGCTCACTGATTTAAGAAAGGGCAGGAAATTGCTACATGGCTGCAGCTGTGGGGAGGGCTCAGTAAAGCTCTCTGCTGATGTAAAGAGGAATTAAAATCTTTAAGGTATTACACATCAAAGAGAGCAGCCTGAGGCCTTAGGAAGAAAAAACAGGCAAAGGTATTTGCAAGCATATATAGCAGTCAGGCGCCTGCCTCACAAGCACTGGTCTGGCTAAGGTTGCACTGCTGTTGTCAGCTAGTGGAGGACATTCTAATGCTCAGCTGCTCCCTTTAAAGAGGAGATATACATAGATGTGCACATAGGAAGAAGAAAAGCATTAAGGTCCAAGCTGTGTGTTGAAAAGGTTCTCCAAATAAGACTTTTTCAAACTGCTGGGTAGCTTCTCTTCTTCCTGTGAACCTGTAATCTCATCAGGGTCACTGGTCAGCTGGAGTGCCAATCGTGACGCTCTGTAGTTTCCCATGTCCTCACAACTTTGCTTAGCTATGGTGCATCAGGCTGGACGTGGAGAGTGTCCCACTGAAGTTGTAGGCCTCCTTTGAAAAGGAAACAGGGTAATTTGGAAAAGGGACCATTTGTGATGCAGACAAGTGTAGTATGTATCCAAGATGTTTTGGGAAAAGAAGAAGAACTCCTCTTAGGCCACTTCTTCCCAAGGACATTTCGTTTCTGCTTTGTGAGGCTTTTCCATGAAGCAGAGATGGATGTTTTTCCTTCACTTATTTTGTATCCTGATACTGTTTCACTGTTGTTACCTGCTGCAGAAATTATGGAGTTGACTATTGTTTTTAAAACCAGTTTCCATTCGAAATCTTTCACTTCCATCAACTCACAGCCTTCCTCTATAGTTCCTTATAATTGTGGTCTCCCTTCATTAGTACAAGAGACTGCTAAAAATCTGCTGCTCTGGGGATACCCCATCACGATGTAACTGCCTGTATCCATCTGGGGGAGCGATTTTTTCACAGATCCCTTCTTGGATCTCTTTCAGTTGTTTGCATGGTTGTCTCCCTTCACAGCTGACTGCCCCAGTCCTTCTGCAGGGAGAAGGAGCAGTGAGGTATTTCAGAGGGAAACAACTCAGTAGCTGGACATTGTTTTGCACTCAAATCATGCTAATTAATTGAGTTCAGCAAAGTAGCTATTAGCCCTGATGGACTAGGAGTTAGCCTGTGTTAGAAGGTCAAGTCTTAGCCACTTATTAGAGATTCCCTCTACATCATGTTTGGTCCCTCTTTGCTTTATCTGCAAAAGCATGTGAAGCATCTGTAAAAGTGGAACAAGACAACTGGTCCTGGCGGTGAAAGGATACCTACCTAATGTATGTATGAGTCAGGCGTTACTTAGTTGCTTTCCTGAACTTCAAGAGATTGAGAACCAGAGGCTTTGACACATGGAGCTCAGTTAGCCAAATGTTTGGGTAGCGAGGATGCAGGTTTAATGCCACAGAACCTATTTTTGGAGACTGAGTGAAGTTCATTTGATAGTGGGATGCTTACAAGACCCCCTTATCCAAGAGGAAACCTGCAGGGACAAGAGTCAGGAAACGCAGTAGGGTGATGGAAATAAAAAACCCCTAAGCTGATGGCAAGCAACAGTGCTTTTCTTTCAGATGTGGTCAGCTGAGGTGAATAGAAGTTGTTTGTGTTGGAAATGCTCTTTGAGCTTTTGTCTAGGATAAGAGAGCCAGGAGGGTGCTTGGAGCCAATAGTTTGGCTTCCCCAGTGAACAATGCAACGATGACCTGAATCCTGTGTGCAGTGGGAATGGCAAGGTAGGCCATATGGGATGAATTATGGAGGTGCACTGATAGCTTGTACATCTTTTTTCATTTTTCAGACAATTGAACTGTTTCATTTATTGCCTATTATTAAAACTTTATAGCACTAAAAATAAAAGAATGAATGAAAAAAGAGAGAATTTTGGATACATTTTAAAGGACTGACCTTATTAAAATAAAGCTGGCAGTGAGTCCTCTTCTGATACTTTTTTTTTTTACTTCCTTCATAAAGATGGTGTGAGAAGGGAGGGTTTATGGCCTGATAGACAGTTTGAAGTCAATTTTTCCATACAGTTCTTGGAAGAAAAAGTGGATGCCATATGCATAATATTCAGCACACTTGGTACCAGCAGCCCTCACCAAAGCCCAGAAAGAAGCTGCTGAAAGTTCAGAAATGCTGAAAAGAGCATTTATTGCTGTCCCAAAATGCCTCTTCATTGGCAAGATGGGGTTTGTTTTCCCTGTTAGGTGATGGAACACACCTAGAATAGCACTCCAGTATTTCTGCTGACTAGAAGAGCACTACCCTTCTGTCCTGTGGTGGAGGTCTGTGACATGGCTCTGGATATCGTGGTACCAGACCAATGTCATAAACTGCTATGGGAGAGAGGGTTTTTAGAGTTGACAGCAATGGAGTTTCTTGATTCCCACCTCCTCACCTCAACATTTTCTTTCGAAAATAGGAATACATCAGTCAGAAGAAAAAAGATATATTGAAAGGCTGTGCTTAGAGTGGTAAAATCAGTCACAAAAAGGTGATGTGCCTTCCCACCAAAGCTGTTTTCTGCATGGCTGCATGTTCTTTTTCTGCAAGACTCCATACACGAGGTGGAAGGTGACTGACAGTTTTAGCTAGCACATGAGGCTGCTGTCTCATGGGTCTTTGTCTGATTCATGGCAGGATGCAAAAGTTCAGTAAGGATGTATTCTGCTTAAATACTATTTCAAAAACACCCATAAAGTTTGTTCTGCACAAACAAACAAAGAAACCAACTCCAAAACAAACCAACATGAAAAAAGGATGATCTATTATATAGAGACCTAAATTTGTGCATAGGGGAACTGGACATAGCTTTGACCTCTGTCACCAGCATACTTAGAGAGGGCATTTTATAAGGCATGTTCAACATGTGTGCACCTTGGAGTGAGTAAAGGACTCTCATTTGGGACAGGAAGAGGAAAGAGGTGGCTTTACGCCAGATGTAGAGTTTGGCCTTCATTCTTCAGGCACCTGTGGCTGCAGAGCTGCCCTCAGCATTACAGAGCAATTGGGGAATCCAGAGAAGCCACAGTGTTGCTGCTGGCAGTTGCAGTGTGGAAAAGGGAGGTAGACAGGAGCTGTGTCCACAACAAAGGGGCTGTTCTAGATCTGCTCCCCTGGAGCAGGAGGACATGGGTCCCTAGTTACATTTTTCCTTTGCATGGCATACAGGGCAGGAACAGAGCTGCTTTGCAAGATGCTCTGGTAACCTCACTGTTGTCATTTACCCTTTCAGGCACAGCGGAGTCCAACCCTTGACAGCAGTATATAATTTCTAATTTACTCTTTTATTTCTTCTTATTATTCCCCCATTATTGGGGGATTTTTGTTGTTGGTTTTCTTTTTCTGGTGTGTTTTTGTTTGTTTGTTTGTTTTCATACCCTTTTCTGTTAAATGTACAAATTATAAGGTAGTTGCAAGAACTGAATTGATACGGGAGGAAATGGTAGACAGAGAGCTAGAAACTTGGAACTGTGAATAAACCTGAGCTGAAACTGATGCAGGCTCCAGGCAGAGGTAGAGGCAATAGTTTAACCTGCCTTTACTGTTTCACTGAGCTACCTCCCATTAGGAATTGAATTTTACTGGAAAGGAGTCATAAGAGCAGATCTGGAGTCGGATGCTGGTGCAGAGTGAGGTTATGTGCATGGGGATCTAATGTCCGAACCAGACTGTGAACACTGGTTTTAGTGAGTTGGCCTCCTTATTTCCCTGCACGATCCTTGTGGCAGATGCAGAACAGCTGGATTAGCACAGCTGGACACTTCAGTATGCATTTCTGCATCTATTACTTGGTTTTAATCATCAAGCCAGGTCCTTCCAACAGCAGGTCTTGTTACGGAGCAACTTGGTCAGGGCATTTTGTGCCCCCTGGATATGCTTGTGTTGAGAAGCAGATGGAGCCTTAACACATGTGGCTTTCTCACACAGGGAGCAGAGGAAATCCTGGGGGTGGTACCAGTAGTCAAAGAGCTGCTTTTGCACACAGCCCGGCTTAGCAGATGGGTTCACATTCTGTACTGCCTTGTCTCTGAGCTCCATGAGCTGGCGGAGGCCACTGTATTATCCAAATAGTTTTGTTGTAATGTGCTCAGCACTAGTGTGAGACTGCTATGCAGAGATGTCTTCTGTTTCTACTTCTAACAGCTTAGCAGCTAATAAACACCATGCAACAACCTCTCTTCTAAACCTCCTCTTAAAATACAGAGTTTGGTTTGCCAACTCCAATGTATTTAAAGCATGTGAGCTTCCGGGGAGACTTTGGAAAGTTAACTGAGTGAGTGGAGGCACGTGCAGAAAGACATTTTCATAAGCAAAAGGCAGCTCCAGTATCAGCTCAACATCTGATGAGAGGCTCTGGGGATGTTAGAGCCTTTTGCTCTGAAAGGGGATACGTTCTCACATTTGACAAAGCATCTCTAGTCATGTTCAGTCAGGGTGAGGGCTATAACCTACTGCTGGAAAAGAGGCAGAGGAAGGTGAGGAATGGGGAACAGAGCAATGCACAGCTTCCACAGAGGAGAGTTTTTCCTGGGAAGAAACTCCAGGGGGTTGTCTCGTAAAGAACATGGGGGTCTTTTCCTAATAATGCACCTATGTCCTCACTAGAGATGTTCAGCAGAGCTAGCATTCCCTGGTGAAATTAAGAACAAATCTGAGGTCCCAGCCCTTCAACAGGAAAAGTTCTCACTTGCTTTTGGCTTTTTCTCTTTGGTACTGTCTTTGTGGTGAGTTACGGACCCAAAGCAGAGATGCCACCGATCTTTTATAAAAAGCATCTTGTGCATTTCTACTTGAACTCCAAAACCAAGGAGATTACTTTTTTGATGGCTTCCCATAGCACTTCCTAACAGCGTCCAGAACTGCAAAGTGGTGGGGAAAGGCAGTTGACAAAATCTCTCTGATTCTGTAGGCTGAATGCCAGACTGCCCTTGTTAGCATGACAGCTTTCATCCCCAAAGTGTGGAAGCCTGCTTTATGATAAAGCATGCCTTAAGGATCTGACAGTCATGTGTCTCCTACAATGCATACAGAAAGTTTGGGATATTTGTTAAATATAAAAAGACTAGAAAGGCACCGAGAGACTCATAAAAACTTTTGCAATCCTGTGCTGGGGGAATTGCATTTTACTCTAGTGACCTGTGCAGGAAGGCTCGCTTGAAGGATTCACAGATGTCAAGGTGACCTTTTGGTGGCCACTGGCAGCCTGTCAAATGAGGTTGGAGCCCTCTTTCCCCAGTGCCAATAGGCTTGCAAACTGACTGACATTCTTCTCTCTTTGTTTTATTCTCATTGCACAGGACAGGGCTGGAAGCCATTATGGAGACCTACGCCTTCTGGAGGCCCCCTGTGCGCACTCTCACCTTTGAAGACTTCACTACCATGCAGAAGCAGCAAGGTGAGTGAGCAAAGGGCATGAAAAAAGCTGTAGAAAGAGCACAAGAAGGTGCAAGAGCAGCAATGTACTCTGCTGTGTGTCCAGCGGCTGGAATGGGGATGTCACATACCTCCTTGAGCTCTTGACTGCTGTGAAAGAGCAGAGAGGATGGATGGAAATGCTGGACAGTCAGTGCCTTATGAAGTGCAATGGAGCTGCTTGATCTCCCTAGTGCTAGAGCTGGAGTTCTAAGAGATAGTAGGAGGAACAGGAGAGAGTGAAGGGCTAGGCAAACCAGCCCAAGTACACAGCATGAGTTAAGTGTGAAGAGAACACAGAGAGGAAAGACTCCAGCATTTCAGATATGTTGTTCCCACTTTACAGTTAATATTTGCCATTTGTGTGGAAACACAAGAGGGAGAAGACCAGAAATGTGCTTTCCTCCAGGATCACACTGCTTTCAAAACTCAGTGGCTTTGCTGGAGAAACATTCTGTTAATACGAGTCTGGGAGGAATTACTGGGCCAAGCGTTTTCTGCTTGCTCATGCTGTGTCTTTTCATAGCTTCTGCCCTTTACATCTCTCATTTGTTAAGTAGGGCTTTCATCTCTAGTTTCAGGCTGCATTACTACTATTATTTTTTTTTTTTTTCAGAGATAAGACTTCCCCATTCACTTAATTGCAGTTATTTCTAGTTAAAAAACACTGGGAATAGAGGTATCAGAGCAATCTGGTCCTTTTTTTATTCCAGTACACATACAAGAGAAAAGAATCCAAAACCGTGTTCAAATGTGACAATTATGAAGTTAAACATTCAAAAGCAAATGCATGCCCTGTTGTAGCAGACTCTCCAGCCTCTCACACCCGAGCTTTATGTCTCCCCAAAACTTCCATCATGAGGATGGCATGGGCTTTTCTAGAGGGAGAGGAGGAGCAGTGACTGCTGCATCTGCCCATCCCCAAGGCAGAATCAGAAGGGAATCCAGCACAGGAACATCTTCTGGCTGTCCATTCCCCACCCCAGTTCCCTGTGTGACACCCCAGAGCCCAGGTCACCTGCTCAATCATTTTCTGGTGGCACAGCACTGGGGTAGAACAGAGCACGTTCCTGCTGGCTGCATTAGACTCCCATGAGTGGTCTTTACGCAACCACAGTACAGCATGGGGAAGGGGAAGATTTGTACAAACTCAGGGGCTTGCGCTGTGGAGCACTCGTGGTCAGAGATGGGTTAAAGTGGGGATTCAGAGAGGTTTTCATCACCCACCTAAATAGAAACATAACAGCCTCTCCTCTTGGTCACAGTGCTGAAGCAGCCTCCCTCCTCTGTGTCACCCCCTCCATGCCTCCCCTCCCACTGCTGATCAGATAACATCCTAATGGCAAGTCCAGCTATTGCTTACGTGGTAAGGTAATATTAGGAAAGGAAAATATTTAATGTATTTTTAGCTTGTTTTAATATAGTTTGGCAGCTGAAAACCAAGGAAGCAAGCCAGTACCATGTGACCAGCTGGCTCTGTGCAGACCACCACCACTGCACCACAGACCATTAAGCTTAGGGGCAGGCCTTTACTAAAGTTGTGTCCACAGATCAGTGTCAAAACTTAATAGTTCACTACAAAACAGTGCTCTCAAGGACTGCATTTCGCCATGCAAAATGATCTCAATGAATCAGAAATATTCCCTCCATCATAGTGCTCACGTCTCCACTGGTTGCTGTAACAAGCTGATCCCCGGGTCTCAGCAATAGGTGCAAATCCAAGGTACAAGCAGTCTATTTTCATTTCTGGTTGCTGGGATAGCCCCCAAGGGTCAGCCCAAATATACTGGTCTGGAGACTTTGGAATTGCTGTCAGAAAAAGCAAGAAATGCTGAGGTGGCTTTAAGTCACATGTGATTCTTCCCTCCAAACATAAGATAACCAGGATGTACCGTGCCCATACCTTTTCATCTCCTTGCTTTCAAGTACATGAATGGTGTGACAGGTGAGTAAATCACTGGTGTTCCACAGCTGACTTCAGTATAAGCTATTGCACCTTGAATCCTCTGAGCCTTAGCCAGTCTTTTCATGGAAGTGACTTACCTGGGACTTTGTTCCTCTCTTCCACCTGAAGTCTCAGTGCTCAGAGCTGCATGCTGTTATCTCATAGCCTTCCATAGAATCATAGAATAGTTAGGGCATATTTATGAGTTAGAAGTTTCCAGGGTATTATTTTAATAAACAGACACTTAAGTTCTAGATCATGCTTTTTGTCTCCAAAGCTGGGCTAATATGTGGCATTTTTTCATGAATGCCTCCATTTTATCCCTTGAATTTCTTGTTGGGAAACTGCCTTGGGGCTACAGGACACTTCTGGGACTAAATGTGTCCACTGCAGCTTAAGAAGAGTGCACGCTTAACTACAGAGAGAAAAGATGGGAGCAGCAAAAGTGGCCACATGCCTAGGAAGAAACATCATCAGTGAGGAACAAGTTATGGTTGTTCAACCTGATGAGG